AGAGAGAGAGAGAGAGAGCGAAAGAAAGAATTTTAAAAGCTAAACGCGAGAAAAAAAACAACAAAGTCTGGAGTATTGCATTTTTGAAATTCTTTTTTATAATTAGTCTTCTTTTTAAATTTTTAACTACGACTTAATTCATTTCTCTGATCAAAGTTTTATCAAAAAAACTATAGTAACAAATTTCATAATAATATAGATGCGTCTATCTATTCGTAAAATAGTTTGATATCGTTGAAAATATTTATTTTTATCTATGCTCTTTATCATTAAATTTGAAAGTTAGTTTCTTTCTCTACAAATTTATAATGTACATAAATAATAACGAATGAGAAAAATTTTATTAGAAGGATTAAGATATAATTAGATAAAGAAAACCAAATGTCATCTATCATGAAAACAAATAAAAAAATTTTTAATAATTTCAAATTCAAGATTCTTTAAAATGTACATAGAAAGATTGACGAAAGCTTTTTCAGATCGAATCGTGTTCCAATGAAATATCTTATTATGCAAATATGCAAGGCTTTCACTTTGGTTTTCATTCTTACTTAAAATTAATGAAACGAAAATGAGAATCTGTTTATCAAAATTAAAAAAAAAAAAAAGCCTGGAAGTATCACTTGCGATAATCATGATTACTTGTAAAATGCGAAAGAAGATCCTCATTGAAAGAAAAAAAGAGATTATGGAAATATAAATCCTAATGGCTTGTACGGGTACAATTTTCTCGAAAATCGAATGGAAGAAGACCACATATCCCTCGTTTTCATGTATTATAAATAATGCACCGTCGTTGCAAGGATCTCTAGAAAGTCCCCCTTCTTCCCTTCCCCCATTCAAAAAAAAAAAAGAAATAAATAAAAAATATCGAAAGAAAAATCAATGTTAAACGAAATGATAAAAACTGAACGATCGAAGAGATAAGAAGAAAATAAATACGATAACAGCATGCGTGTGATCGAAATCGGTTCCCAAATCTGCCTGCATACACCGCCACGTGTACCGACGTTTAAGTGGATCGTAATTTGTAAATTACTATGGACTTCCTAATTATATGCTGGTATATGATAATACATGTGCTCTGCCACAATAAAGCAGTTTTTTTTATCTAAAATATATGTCGTTATTTTTTTCTTAATATACCTGGGACGAAACTCTATCGAACAAAAAGAAAGATAACAAAAATTTATTGTATCATATTAAAATATGAATCGAATGAATTATGATAGAATATAAAATACAATAATAACTGTGAAAAGAAATTTACTGAATGAAATTTAATGAAATTGTACTATTATTAGATATTTTTTTATATTGGTTTTTATATTTAATATATTTTTAATTTAAAAAGATAATGGATCACTTTTAATAACGTGAAAGCATAAAAAAATTGTATAGAAGTATAATTATATGTACGTTTAATAGAGTTTGAATTTTAATAATTTAAAGTTTTTATAAATAAGAATAATTAAATTACAAATATTTTTTTTTTTTCAAAAAATACTGAAAATGATACAGAGTTCAAAAAGTAGAAATTGCAATTTAAATCAGGTTATCATATATAATAAAGTTTAATCAACTATTAACAATAGAAAAGACAAGATAAGTCATTGATATCTTTAATAGTGTGAAGCTATATAAATTACGTAGTTTCAACGACATAGAAACTACGTGGCAGCACTGTACCGTTCTTGTTAGTTTTACGTGGCTATGGCTGTCGTGTATGATATTAAAAATTTCTATCATTTTCATATTCAATATTAAAACGTAGATAATTTAATTTCTTTATAATTTTCAAAAACTAAAAATTAACAAATCAAAAATTGTATTTTCATATCTTTTAAAATGATTAAAATTAAAAATATAGGTAAAATTTCAAAATTCAAAATTTATCCTAATTAACGTAAATTGTTATCAACAATAAATAATGTAATAATATTATTTTTCATGTATAAAATTCTAACTAGATTTAATAAATATTTAAATAAATAATAAAATATTTCATTTTAAATTAATAAAATTAAGAATCTTTTTATTATTTCTTTAAATTTTCTAAATTTATTTATTATATATAATTTAAAATCAATTTTACGCAAATAAAATGATTAGAAATATGCATTCTATTATTTCCGAATAACCAATCACATTAGAGAATACTCGAATGTAAATAAAAAAATGTAATTTTTAAAAATAATAATAAAATAATCTAATATGAAATTTTTATATAATTGTAAACTCGACATTATAAACATTATAAATTCGATTTTCAATATATATATTATTTTCGAAGCTCTGATTTATTCTTATTATTCATCGACAAGCATGCCCTGTCTGTTTGATCATGCGTGATTGTAACACGTAGAAGTGGGAGTAATTGTGCATGAAAATTTGATAGATTTGCATTAACTTGGCCGACCTCTTAAACACTTGGACGATCAATCATTATATATCTAAGGCAAGTCTATACAATACTTTGGATTATTACGTATAATTTTATTAATTAAAAATGAAATATAAGATTGGTGGAAATTCTAGCCATTTTGCGATTTAATCAAAGTACGACGTAAATCATATTAAAGAAATACAATTAAAAAAAACATAATCAATACCGTAAAAGTTTTAGTTTTTCTTGTCTGGTAATGATTTAACGATGACGATGTCTGATGGAGTAGTCTACCATATTAATTAATGATGAATTTGGAAGAAAAAAGTCTTCGCAATGTTCAAAACTATCGTATGTAAAAGCTGTTGGCTTCAAGCGCGACGTGATCGATACGCAATCGTTCTGCCGAGTATTTCCGAAGTTATCCGTAAAGAAACGAAGGTAACCGAATATTAACGAAGTTGGTCGAGGTAGTATAGTGAGCAAACGACGCGTACGGAAGAACGCGGGGTCTTCTCCGGCTTGGATTGAAACAGCGTTCGCGTCTACGGGCGCGGTTTTGCGTCTCGAGCTGGCGTTTTACATGGTAAAATGTCCTCCCTCGATTATCTGGACTTGTGTCGATTATGTCTCGTGAAGGACCGTGTTTCGGTGCCAATTTTCGAGGGTGAAGGAGACGTACGACAAATATTTCTCAAGATCGCTGCCTGCCTACCGGTCAAGGTAAGCCAACTACGCCATCGCTTCGACAATGGCGATCCGCCATCTTGTGCATTTTCATAGCTACATCGCGTTTCTACAATCGTCCACGACTTTTCGACCTCCCAGTAGATGTAATTACTCCCGATTGTTTTAGAGATCGCCCTATAGACAAGAAATTACAAGCAATTCCAAAATAATAATGTCCAAATAGCTATATATTGGTGTTACACTATTTATGTTTCCTTTTTTCTTCAATCTATTTAATTTGTTCATGACGCTACAAATTATTCAACAAAATTTTGCCGCGCTTTTTTCCCTACCTTAACGTATTGCGAATCTACCCAAATTTTTCATCACCTGAATAGTATCCCTTTGATATTTTCATTTCAAACGATGATTCGCAATGTGTTTCTCTATTTACAGCAACTATATAACTGAATAATCCTCTTTCTTTTCGACATCTTGTTTTCGACACCATTGTTTCTATTATAAAATGCCTATAATTAATTATTTATTTGTATTATTTAAAATAGTTTTATTAATTTATTTTTAATGTTATTATATTATACTTCAAAATCGCTTTTATAAAAAATTGAATTAATTTCACTTTTATATTTGAAATTTGAAAATACAATTTTTTATTTATAAAATTTAAATCATTAATTTTAATCAATAAATAAATATTCAATATATTTTTATTATATGTTTAAATAAATGAATATAAAGTATATTTTATTTTGATATATTTTGAAATTATTATCTAAAATTTAAAATTTTTATTTTATTGTTACATTGATTGTTAATTCATATTATTTATAATACTAATCATATTATCTATTATACTTTCCTTATTAAAATATTTTTATAAATAGGATATTTGTTGTAAATTATATTTTTTCTTTTTACATATGATTACAGCTTACAAGAGAAGATAAGTTACCTAAGAAGATATGCGATGATTGTGTGTATAAAGTAGAATTATTTTACCAATTTTGGAACACAACAGCAAACGCAGAAAAACAACTTTTGCAATGGCTAGGAGAAGTCAGTTTAGAAGACAAACAGGGTTATGTTACCAATGTTCTCAATCCGGTAATTTATTTTTCATATATATACATTTATTTCTATGTGTAACAAAATCTAAAAATAGACATTCTTTTATTTTTTGACATTCAGTTCCATGTTTACCTTAGTTACTGCTAGTGTTAATGATAAAAATATTTTAAATTCATACTTTTGTAAGTTTTTTAATTGTTTAATGTATTGAATTTTGAATTTGCTATTTCTAATTTATTTTTATACTTAAAATAAATTTTAATAATTTTGATATATCTTGATGTATTGATATATTTGAAGGTTATATTAAGTTGAGTTATAAAAGATAAAAAATATTTTTATTAATTATAAAATATTTGTAAATGATAAATAAATTTTATTCCTTATTCAATTACAGAGTGTAATGAAACAAGAACAGAGTACAGAGAACAGGTTAGATGGCAATGTGATGCAGCAAGTAGAGGAGCATCAAAACAATATGGGGATGGGTATGATGGATAACATGGGTTTGGGTATTCCCATGATAATATCCAGTGCTAATCAACAACAAATCACCTCAGTTCCTATGGACACCAGCAACAATTCTGTACAAACTATTCAGGCAGTACCTGGTCCAAGTTCACAAACTACACATAACCAAATACCACAGAATCAAACAAGCTCTACGCAACAAGAAGATGAAGAAGAAAGTAGTGAAGATGAAGAAAACTCTGACGAAGAATGTGATGGAGATGAAGGTAAGTATCGTAGCATTTATATTTTTTTATTATTATTTTTTTTTATAGAATTTTTTTGCTAAATGAATAAAAATAAAAATATTTAAATTTTTTTCTTTTTATTAGGCCTACCTGTAAAAGAAGAAAGTGAAGAAGATCCTAGCAATAGAACTATAGAGCCTACTACCTTTGTAAATGTTTCCTTGGCATGTGATGAAGCAGGTCCTTCAGGACTACAGCAACAGAAGATTTCAGATATGCCTGAGATGCCAATTCCACAGCCAGCTGATGGGGATCCCAAATCTGGGTGAGTCTTTTATCCATACTTTTATATTCCAAGGGCCAAAGGTGCCATTTTGTTGTGGAGATCACACACACTTACACAAACATTTTTATGACTTTTTTCTTTTCTTTTTTCTTTTCTTTTTTTTCTTTTCTTTTTTTTTTTTTTTTTTTCTTTTTTCTTTTCTTACTAAAATTAAAAGTTACATAACCTAAAATAAATTGATTTAGTATAATAATTTCTATTAGGAACATAAATCTATATCTATGATATTTCATATTATTTCATTTATAATTAATTTTTCTTTTTAAACTATAAATTATAAATTATTATTATTATTATTATTATGTCAAAAACATTTAACGTTTTTATATTAATTATTTTCTAAATATAGTTTAAATAATATTAATTCTTTTTTTTATTTTTGTTATTGTTGATTATACATATTTTCTACAATTTTTCATTTTAATATTGAAATCCGTAAGAGTTAGTCACCTAATTCGAATGAATAAGGTGCAATAAGATAACAAGGTAAGTTAGTACACACCCCACAACCATCTTTGGCTCTCTGTATTTTGCAATTTGATTTCTTTCTTTTTTTTTCCTTCTTCTTTTTTTTTTTTTTTTAATTTTAAGAATCTATCTTGTATTTTTATGAAATTACTTCATCGTATGTAAAACATATTTAGATAAAATATCAATTTTTTTTTATAAATATATTTATTTTATAAAACAAATTGCAAAATATCTGAATATTCCTTCATGTGATAGCATGTATTTAGAGTTCCTTTTAATAAGAATGATATAAGCATAAATATTGAGATTGTTCACGTAGAATGTTTTCACGAATCAATTTCATTACAATTTTCTTATTTAAATGAACTCTATTCTAGTTATTATTGATACATGTACAATAAATGAACAGAGGGATTTTACTAATTACATATTTGTTATTAACACTTTTATCAGTATTTTTTGTGTGTGTATGTAATTGAATCAGTTGTTTTATTGCACTTGACGCATAATGTATAGGTATTTAATCCTTCTGTTCAATTGAGAACCAGATGTTTACATGTTGTCAGTATCAATATCCCACGCTTACGTGAAGGCACAAAATGCCGCACACGGCCGACAATAGGCCGATCAAAAATCACAAACTAATATTTCGTAAGTTAACGTCACGATATGATAGATGCTTGGTGTATTTAAAAAATATCACCAAGCTATATTATAATTCGTAAAAAGAGAAAAAGAAAAATTCAAAATACCGTTTCTTGTCGTCTTCGTGCTTTCCAATGCCTACGCTTTTACATTATTGTCAGGACCACATAATTAATATATCGGCTAGTCTGTAAGTGCTATCATTCTGTTAATTGCGCACACAACTCGCTGATAAACTATGTGGTATTGTTGCCACGAGTTCGGTTTCAATCAATTACATTTACGGATCTGGCATCTTTATTAGATGTCACTTTAAAATAATCGAGTGTTTTACGATAAAAAGAAAGTTCATTTTTTAAAAAAAATGAAAGAGACACCAAAACAACTAGAGTAATGATTGTATCAAGATGTGATGAAGAATTGAAGAATTAATCATCGCGTGAAAAATATGAAGAGGATCTCAGGCATGTTGTTTAAGGCGAGTATCAAGTTTTTGCATATTTTGGAACTTTTGTTTTTTATCTAATAGTCTATAAGTATAATATATATATATATCGAATGAAGTTTATTATATATTATATATGTATATATATATACGCGATATTACCAAAGAATTTCGTGATTTTATTCTTTGGAATTATATAGCGCTCGTTTCAGCATAAGCTTTTCTAAGCTGATAATTCGACGCGCTTAAATCATACGCATATTTTAAATGCGCTGCATTAAATTGCGCGAATTATTTTATTCGGTTAAAAAAAAGCAGTCGAAATATTTTGTAAAATTAATTTACATTTTTCGACGCTTGCACAAAACCAGGCTGCGTTTACGCGCCAGTTAGAAAGTAAATTTCTGCGATTCATTCTGCATATTTTCTTTTTTTACGCGGTACATTTGCATCGATATATAAGAAATTAATATGGATGCATTATTTAATTGTACTTGCGTAACTTTTATCACGATTACGAGTAATGATGAAAAAAAGTGATTATAAACTTTGAAATATTTCTTGTTTCCATTTGTAAATTGTTACAGTGCATTTTCATCATATTTCTGTTTACATGATAACGTAAATGGACTTTCAAGTTAAGAATATTGAATACAAGAGAAATGTGTGATGGAAGAAGACAAGAAGAGACTATGTGGATATTGGATATCGGTTCAAAGGTGAGGATCTAATTCAATCATTTGATCTACTACATTAATTTGATCTCTCTAAAAATAATGTATCTTTAGTAAAAAAAATAATAATTTTTTAGTAAGGGTTTGCTTTCTTCTAACTTCTTTGCTGAGTTTTATAGCTTAACTTTTTTCTTCTGCTGGTTTGCTGTAGAAATCTTTAATTTCTTTCTTCGGTTTATGCCAATTACTTCATTGTGAGTCTAGAGATGTGAAAAGGCGAGAGATAGTTTAAGATTTAATTAAAATACGCGTATATTTTATTCTTTTTTAATTAGATTCATTACCGATTCATTTAACATAAATAAAGTAGTAAAAAGCATCACGAGCATAACGTTCTTATTTAACAGTTCTATATATACACAAAAATAATATATTTAAATTTTCAAAGGACAAGACAACTATATTTATCGTGTAAACTCCAAAGGTAAAGTGAAGATATATAAACATTGCTTTCTTTACGATCTTCCGAAACTTTATATTCTTATTTGAGGAGTATAATATATTCCTACAACATATAATATATTCTTCATATTAACGAGGAAGATCATGAAGATGTTAAAATAGAGAAACGATGACGACAAAACTCTCTAAGCTCGATTTGCACTTGCGCTCTCGTCGGCACTCTCTGTACTTCTGTGGAAAAGGAAAAGTCACAATGCCCAAGCACTTTGCACGGTCACTATAACAAAAGTTCACGCAGCGTGTATACTCTATATTCTCTCGCTTTTCTATCTTTACACACCACTGCCTATTTGCCTAAGAGAGAAAGCAAAGATCACAGGAACGAATGAAAAGGCGATGCCTATATCTTTCTATTGTGCCGGTGGTGTTCGCCGCTGCATTGTCCTTGGGTTTTGTCAATTTCAGGGAAGGAAGCGAGACGTTCGGCGGATTGTCGGGGATGCTACGTCAAATACTTTCGCCATCGCCCGAGACGGGAGACACCTGTTTACCCGTCACTTGTACTTTGCTTCAGAACAACACTATGTTCTCCAATCAATCGTCGATGATGTCCTCAACGTATCAAACCGTCCCATCCCACTTGCCATCCATTTGTTCCGATCAGATTCTCATGGATCACGTGCAGATAGTCACCGAATCCCATCCGTGTTCCACGTGTGGCCTTGAGTTTCGAAGCGCTCTGAAACTGAATTACCACATAAGAACCAGTCATTCGGCCTTGCCGGAGTTCGAGCACAACATAGAGAATCCGATGAGATACTCGTGCACCATTTGTTCGCGGACTTTCTTCGCTCTCAGTCATTTGAGGATGCACGAGGTCACGCATTCCGCGCCACCGGCAACCTCCTGCGCACCTGCGATGCCAACGATATCGACATCGGTGAACGTCGACAAGACGTTCGCCTGCGATCGTTGCCAGGCCAGTTTCCGGTATCGTACGTTATTCGAGCGGCACAGGAGGATGCACGAGGTTGGCCAGGAGAAGCCTTACTCCTGCCCTAGATGTTTGATGCGCTTCGAGACCCGAAATTTGTACAATCATCATGCGAAAACTCACAAGCCGGGCAACGATAGGATAACCGACACCGTAGTAGTGTCTTCCGGTGATCCGGTCACTAGCAGTATTAGCGGTACCATTGCGTCGACCAACAAATCGGTACTCTCCTACCCGTGTGACTCGTGCTCCAAGCAATTCGCGAGCATCGAATCATTGACCACCCATAAGGCTGTACATAGGTCCAGACCGCTCGTGTGCGACGTTTGCGGCAAAGGTTTTACACACCGCAAGTACTACGTGGTGCATCAACGTATTCATACGGGAGAGAGGCCGTATCTTTGTGCCATGTGTGGGAAGTCGTTCACTCAAGCATCCACGCTTACCGTCCATCGCCGATATCACACGGGAGAACGTCCTTATACGTGCACGTTGTGCGGTAAAGGATTCGTTACCAGAACCATCATGCTGAATCATATGAAAAAGCATTGAATCGAATCGTTATCGTTATTGGTTCGATAAGAAAAAAATACTCATCGATTCGGATTCTTTTTTTACGAAGTTCATGAATATTTTTTTCTCTCTCTCTCTCTCTCTCT